AATACTATATAAACATTTCGTAGTTATATTTCATTATAAAACATTTTTCACGAGTTAGAAAGGGAGCAATCGCCTTCTCGAAAGCCCGGTACAATGCCTACGCATGCAAGAGAGACGACTAAATCAACTCCTTAATTTTGACAGTCCATTTCGTGTTCGCTTTGAAACAGAGAGAACACGAATTAGCATATTTCGAATTGAAAGCAAACTGCCAAGTGTTGACATTACGTATATGCAACGAGGTCTTGACCTATCTAGAACAGAGGAGCGCGCGGAAAATTTGATGATGGGATTGGGCGAAAATAACAATGGATTAAATTGGTAAACTGAGATTTATTTATAATCTAGTTATCACACTAAACAGTTGACACAAAAGTAAGTATTATACGGCTGTACAGAATGACATAAAACAAGGCATAGATAGTAGCTCCAACTAGTGAGCTATTTAGATAACTATGACAACTTACGTTGTTTGGTTTATACCAGTTCTAACACCTGCCCTTAAACTAAACAATCTAATCCAAGATTTTTTACACAATTAAAATGTTTATCTTCACTTAAACATTTAGTTAGGATATCTGCTGGCGTATTTTCGGTAGATAAGTATTTTAACATTATAATTTTATCTTCTACAATTTGTCGCACAAAATGATGTTTAATATCAATGTGTTTACTACGGCTATGATTAACATGACTTTTACAAATGTTTTGTGCTGACTGACTGTCATTGAACAAAGTTACTGATAAATGTTTACCTAAACATTCATAAAGAAAGCTTCTAAGAAATTTAGCCTCCTTTGCTCCTTCACACAATGCCATATATTCAGCTTCGGTGCTTGATAGGGCTTCAGTTCTTTGTTTTCGGCTTTCCCATGGCACTGCTGAATTTCCCAATTTAAATACATAACCAGTATATGAGCGACGGTCTAGCTGATTAGAAGCCCAATCCGCATCTACATATCCTGTAACACTTAATGAGAATTTTTCATATACTATGTTATAATTAATAGTCCCTTTTAAATATCGCATTACACGTTTGGCTGCTTTCCAGTGTGTATCAGAATGACAGTTATTAAATTAGTTGAGTAGGCTATAGCTATGTACATAATACATCCCACAAGACTTCTATACTTGGAATCCATATCAGTTTGGTCTCCTTTCTCAAGCTTTATGCCACATTACAGAGGTGTACTTACTGGCTTACAATCAGTCATATTAAATTGATCTAATACCTGCTGTATATAGTTTTGCTGATCCAATGTAATTTGATTTTGTCTTTGATTTAATCTCATTCCAAATACATGTGTAGCTCGGAGTACTTCGGTACTCGGTACTTTCTTTTCTGGTGTATCTTTACTTATAATTAAAATGTCATCGACATACAAAGCCAATATAATTATATTTCCTGAGTTGTCTGATTTAATGTAAACACAAGGCTCACTGAGTGTTTTTCTAAACTGAAGATCTGTCAAGGCATTATCTATCTTATCATACCATGCCTTTGAGGCTTGCTTAAGCCCATATATAGCTTTATGGAGTTTAAATACATGGTTTTCTTTACCATTTATCTTGTATCCATTTGGCTGCTCCATGTAAACAGTCTCTTGCAAATCACCGTTCAAGAATGCTGTCTTTACATCCATGTGATCAATGTGTAAGTTTGGATTTACTGCCAGGGCAATCAATGTACGTATAGTAGAATATCGTACCACAGATGAGTAGGTTTCCTTGTAGTCAATCCCGTATTCCTGGGTATAACCTTTTGCTACAAGACGTGCTTTATACCGAAGTAACTGACCTTCGGGTCCTAGTTTCTTAAACCCACTTACAGCGCACAACCTTCTTTCCTTCAGGCAGTAATGTCAAACTCCAAGCCTTATTTTTCTCAAATGATTTATATTCATCTTCAATAGCTTCCCTCCAGTGTTCCTTTTCAGGTCCTGATAATGCTTCTTCAATTGTCTGTGGTTCTCCATCATGAGTTGTTGCTGTCATTGTTATTACAGCATTCACACTTTCATCAATGTCTTCATAATAACTAGAATCCTGATCTTGAGTCATGTCTGGATTCCATGTGACATCATTGGGGTCACTCACAGAGCTAGAGTCAGAAACAGTTGAATTAGTTGTTTTCGAGTCGGATAACTCTGTAGTAGGCGAGGGATCGACATTGTTATCATCATTAGTTCTCACAACATTTTCTATTCCATCATTAAAATTTATTTGACAATGTTATACTGATTCATTTTTAAGTCTTTATACATCATTCCTTCCAAGAAGCACACATCTCTAGATTTAATGCATTTGGAGAGATTTTGAGGATCAACTAGTCTGTATCCTTTTGACTCATTACAATATCCTACAAAAATGTATTGTTTACTCTTTGAATCTAGTTTCTTACGCCTCTCATCAGGGATCATTGCATAAGCAACACAGCCAAATATTCTCGGAATTGATAAATCAACTTTACAACCAGACCATTTTTCTTCTGGTGTGGTTCCTCTTACCGCTTTACTTGGTGATTTATTCTTGATAAAGATTGCTGTATTCAAAGCCTCAGCCCAGAATCTGTGGTCCATACCCGCATCTTGTAGCATACATCGTCCGGCCTCCATAATCGTGCGATTTGCCCTTTTCGCAACTCCGTTCTGTTGTGAAGAGTAGGGTACAGTCGTCTGGTGCACGATGCCATGCTCTTGAAGGAATGTATGGAAATGTTTATTCACATATTCACGACCATTGTCAGTTCTTATCATCTTTATTTTTAAATTAGTTTGATTTTCTACAAAACTTTTAAAGATCCTGAATACAGACAGAACTTCATCTTTACCTTTAATAAAATAACCAAATGTCATCCTTGTATAGTCATCTATAAATGTTAATAGATACTTGGCACCACTAAATGAGGAAACTGACATAGGCCCACATAAATCAGAATGTATGAGACCTAATTTCTCAGTGGCTCGACTATAGGATTATTTTGGGAATGGTATTCTGCTCTGCTTCCCTTCAATACATACCGCACAAGGATTATTTTTACTGTAAGTGTAATTAATTCCACTTGCCATACCTTGTTTCAGTAAATCCATACTTCGCTTGTTCAGGTGTCCGAGTCTCCGATGCCAAATCTCCTGTGATTGATTCGCTTCACACAAATTCACAGCTTCTGCGCGTTTCCCATCCATGGTCTGGATCTGTGGCTCGACCAAAGCCACTGTTTGACATGTCGCAGCCAGTTCATGACCATTTGTTGATTGTTGACTCACTGTGTCCAGTTCATAGACACCATTCACCTTTGTAGCAATTACAACTGGCATTTTTACGCAATAAACATTACACTTCTCAATGTTAAAGTGAACTTCAAGTCCTTTTGAAGCTATTTTGCCTACGGAAATAAGGTTCGTTGACAGTCCTGGCACAAAAATAATCTCATTTAATTTTGTAACTTGAGATTGTCCTTTCAACAGTAATTCCACTTCACCATGACCTTCACTATGCATTTTCTGATTATTAGCAACTGTAACTAACCGCAAAGAGTCCACAACATAATTTTTAATAGATTTTTGTTGTTTGTCATGTGACAAGTAGCGCCAGAGTCGACATACCAAGCATTCGAGTCAATGTTCATAGCTAGTGCTGTTAATAATGTTCCGTTCCACGCTTTCTCACATTTTTCACTTTCACCCCGTTTATTAATGTTGTATTGTTAGTTTAGTTGGACAGTTTTCAGCAAAGTGATTTGGTTTCTTGCAAATGTAGCACTTTGGATGTTTGTTGACCCTTTTTGTGGAAGATTTGTTTGTAAACATCGCACCTTCACTCTTGTCGAAGTCTCTACGTAAATTTTCTTGTAATAATTTACTTTTCACTGTTTCACTGCACAATTTAACGTTCGAATTTTCTAAAGCCATGATAAGCGGATCATAGTCTGAGGGTAAACCGCTTAGCATTAACACTGACAAAAAATCATCATCTAATGGAGCGTTTATGTCTCGTAATTGTTGATCCAAGTCCGTGATTCTCAAGATATATGCTTCCATGTCACTAAATTGTTCCAATTTTAATCCAAATAACGTGCGTAAGAGTCCAAGACGACGACACAGCCCCCTGTCTTCATAGGCTGTCTTTAGGTTGTTCCATGCCTCGTAACCAGTGGTAGAATTTCTAACGTGGGAAAAATACGAGGGTTGAACCACCAAACATATCTTTGCGAGTGCCCGTAGCTGTTTGCGGTTGTCATTGACCTTGAGAACACCCGGTGCAGATTCTTCGATGCAATCCCATAAATTTTCATGGACTAAATACATCGGCATCAAAAACTTCCAGTTTCCGTAGTTAGATATTCCACTAAGCTTTTCGAAATTGACTGAATTTCCGGAACTTATTGCTGTTAAAGATAATGGCGCCGGCACTGGCACGTCGTCCCCACGCGACATCGCGTCTTTCTTGAATGCCACGATTTTTAGAAAATAAATATTTAGGCCCACTTATTTATCGCGTAACCTGGGCTCATAACCTGATGGGATTGGGCGAAAATAACAATGGATTAAATTGGTAAACTGAGATTTATTTATAATCTAGTTAGCACACTAAACAGTTGACACAAGAGTAAGTATTATACGGCTGTACAGAATGACATAAAACAAGGCATAGACAGTAGCTCCAACTAGTGAGCTATTTAGATAACTATGGCATCTTACATTGTTTGGTTTATAGTTCTAACATTTGAAATAGTTTGAAACAACTCAAGAGTTATTTTATTAGTTGATATTATTGATTGAGCAGTTTCATAGGGCAAGCCCGGCTTCTGGGCTTTTATGGAGGCGTCGTCACCGAAATAATTGTACTGTTCTTTACACCCTGCAGATCGGAAATGCAGCGCACGATCTGTTGACCGGAGACAGAAATAATGTGTAAAAGAGTTGTGCCTATGTAGATAAACTACTAGGCACAACTCTTTTACAACCTAGAACCTTTGACCATTTTTTTTCTATTTACAGCTTCAGACAAGCCATGTTTAGCTCGGCGCATCAGTGGACGCTCGGTGATATGCGTATGCAATTGTACTTATTGCGATGACATCACAAGAGAGATGCCGGCAAATGGGAGCTACGTAACTTATACAACTTCTGAGGTGCACTTTAGTTTTTTTTATAACCAAGAATTTTCTTCATCATCATCTTTACAGCTTGCCAAAGTCACTGCTCAAGATAGATCTGCCCCATAAATATTCTCTTAGAATATTTGTCATAGTTTCCACGCTTAACATTTGGGTTGAAAAACGCAGTATTTAATTATTTTTTGTATTTATCAGGAGGATCCCGCTGCCCGTCTCCTGTTTCAATTTCTCTGTATCGTCTCTTATAAAATCTACGCGTGGATGTGTCTATGGGGTAGTAATATTTCTTACATCACCACTTCACGGCAGATTTAAATAATATATTTTAAACCAAGAACCGAAATATTTCTTTAAAAAATCGTAATATAACTGTATACTCTACTCTATTTATATTATTTGCAGGCTGGAACTCGGTTTCAGAAGATTATAGGGACATTTCAAACTTTGGATCATTCGTGTAAGCTAATTTTGTTTAATTTAAATTATTTAAACCTCGTTTAAAAGTAATTTTTAAACAGCAATTTCAGTTTTCTTTGAATTTCTTAGCACTCATTTATTTCTTAAGAACTAGCTGTTAATTCAGGCAGAAAATGACATGATTTCGAAAAATAAAAGCTCACAGCCCATGTGTTATTTTTTACTTATTAGAGTACTTATATATATACAACATGTAACAAAAACCCTGTGGTTCTCGTTAAGTGCGTACAGTATTTTACAAATATATATATATATATAAGTACTCTATCAAATTCTAAAAATTCTTTATTACTTTATTATATTTATGTTCCTTCGCAGTAGGAATTTGCAGAACCAGTTTTGTTATAAACCCAATGAAAACATATCAAGCAGTTGAAGGGTTTGGAGGCGCCGTTACTGATGCAGCAGCTATCAACTGGAAGAGTTTGCCAGAAGTGATGCAGAAATACTTAATCGAGTAAGTATGATATTATTAAAATATTATGACTGATACCTTCAGAAGGTGAATTCACTGTATATGTACTAGGGTATAAGAAACAAGGAATATGTCATTTCACTTTGCATCGCTAAGTCAAACAAATAATGGCAGAAAAACTTTCAAAAGGCTAAGCCTTACACAGACTAGTGATAGAAGCATTACTGTGAGAGGTTTTCAGCTCTATTCTGACCACTCTTGAAAATTCTGATCTTTGAAAATCCGATATACAGTTGCGGATATATTTTATATATATATATATATATATATATATATATATATATATATATATATAGAAAGGAGGACCATCATCATGTTGACTGTGCGCTTGTTTCATAATCATAGCTTTATAAAAAAGACTCTTTTTTCTGCCTATATTGTGATGTTTAACTGGACTACTATAGTCCGGACGCGAAGCAGGAAGAATTTCGTACGTTGACCTGCTATTACCTGTCTCTGTCACTCCCGCGTAAATATAATGCGTTTCGGTCGCACAGATGCAATCCTCAGGGATTGTAAACCTTACCTGAGACTGTAAGGTTTGTTTACACGTGGTATTTGGTTGGCCATGAGGCACGGCCGAAAAGCCTTGGTTTGCTTGATATCCATACTAATATTATAAATACGAAAGTGTGTTTGTTTGTCCTTCTTTCACGTCGCAACAGAGCGTCGGCATGGCATGATTTTTTGTATGGGGATAGTTCGGTGGCTGTAGAGTGACATAGGCTACTTTTTTCCGCGGTAAAACATCTCATTCCCGTGGGAAAATCGAATATGTTGCACAAGTTTGTCCTTCTTTCACGTCGCAACAGAGCGTCGGCATGGCATGATTTTTGTATGGGGATAGTTCGTTGGCTGTAGAGTGACTTAGGCTATTTTTTTCCAGCGGAAAAACATATCACTCCCGTGGGAAAATCGAATATGTTGCAAAATTAAATTCAGCTAGGTGGAGCCACCGTCATTCTACAAGACGGACGACGGTACGACGGACGAACACAGATGGTCAGAATATCTGGATTATTATGTCTTTTTACCAAAATTAAGATAAATAATGTATGTATCTATATTTTTCCACGCAGGACCGGCAAGAGAGCGATAAAAAACATAAAATTCACCCGCTGATTTTCTTCAAACGTTTTGGTGCATTGTAATTCACAGAATAGGCGATAACCTCGCAGACGATATTAAGTAATCCGTTGATGCTCTGCCTACCCCGCAAGGGTTACAAGCGTGATTATAAGTATGGATCAGAAATACTATCACCACCTGTCACGCTTTCACCCTTAACTATTACTTAACTGTGGTAGAAAGTTCTAGTAAGCCTTATTAATAATAAGCCTTAGTAATATTTATTGAACGGAAATGAATACAGTTCTTATATGTGGTTATATATGAATCGGTATTACAATAAGAAAAATTGTGCAAAATTATAAGAAAAATATTTTTGAGAGTTGTTATTAACTAACGTATACATAGTTTAAATTGATTCCGCTAGATGTCGTTACTAGGTTTTTAAAACGCGGTAACAAAATAGTTCCTGACATGTACTTAACTCCCGCCGTTGAGCCGCGCGTCAACTTATAGTGCATTCGGTACCTATACGCTTAAATTGTTTCTATTTCGTAGCTTATTCGACTACCTGCTTTCGATTTCGGTTGTTTGTTATTTGCTTTGTGATTTGGTTAAGGTTGATTGGACTTATATAGGCTTTCATTTTCGGATTTGTGTATTTTCTTGGATCGCTTTTGTTGATTTGGTTGGTATTCTTTTATACATATTTAGACTCTGGCTTTGATTTTGGATTTAGTTTATTTAGAATCGTGAATTGGTTTTCGTTGTTTTAGGTTGTTTAATAATATTTCAAAGGAATATTAATAGTATAGATAGTGTATACGGTATCTATTACACTTACTTGTTTTTTCGTTGGTTATATTTATATTGACTACTGCTTTCGATTTCGGTTTTCTGCGATTTGTTTTGTGATTTGATTGAAGTTGATTCGATTTTTTGGCTATCGTTTTCGGATTCGTGTTATATCTTGAATTAGTTTTGTTGTTTTGATTTTAAAAAATATTTAAAAGGAAATTTAATTCCTTTTAGGTATTTTAACGTCTTTATTTATAAATAGGTTTTTTGTTACTTCATAATGCCTCGCGAACATAAGTCCAGTCTTTCAAGAGCATTTTCTCAAGGACAAATGAAAAGATTAGCTCAATTGCTAGAATCTTTAGAAGATGCTGAACTGTACACGTAATTAGTGGTGATCAATTTTCTTCACGAGACATTGTCTTGCGAGTACGTGATGATACGTAGTGTAGCCGATACACACAAGTTTTATGACGCTCTGCAATACCCATTGATTTATTGCAAATTCCACTCATTAACCCGGTCACAAAGGAGCCTACTCCGAACAAAAAAGTATCATGTATGGATTTTTATGCGTATCATATGATGTTGCAAGAAAATGATTTTAACCTCTTAGCCCGGTTGGTAGACATGTATGTGAAGGTAGAAAGTGAACGTCTCCGTTATATATCTTTAAATCAAAAAAAGCTGCGCGTTGAGAATTATATGCATTTACAAGATGCAGTTTCTAGCGACGCCAATGTAAACCCCAGAGATTTAGGTAAAATGGTAATTCTGCCCTCATCATTCGTTAACAGTCCCCGCTACCTACATGAGTACACACAAGACGCATTCGCCTATGTACGAACTTACGGAAGACCTGATCTTTTTGTTACTTTTACTTGCAATCCCACATGGAAAGAAATTACCGATGAGCTAATGCCGGGCCAAAAAAGTACTGACAGATACGATTTAGTTGCGAGTATTTAGATTAAAAGTACAAAAATTAATGAAAGTAATTAACAAAGGGAAAATTTTCGGAGAGGTGCAGTGCTTCATGTATTCAATTGAATAGCAAAAAAGAGGATAACCGCATGCCCACATTCTAATATGGCTTAAAGAGAAGTTGCGGCCCAGCCAAATAGACGACATAATAACCGCCGAGATTCCGGATTCTGAGCAAGATAAAGAATTGTATGATACCATCGTCCGAAATATGATTCACGGTCTATGTGGAGCACGAAATTCAATATCGCCATGTATGAAAGAAGGAAAATATACAAAGAAATTCCCTAAACAGCTATTAAAAGAAACAGTGCACAATGACAATGGATACCCTTTATACAGACGCAGAGCTCCCGAAGATGGTGACAGGAAAGTTACAATCAAATCTCGCTCTGGAGCGTTCAAAACCTTAGATAACAGCTGGACTGTCCCGTATTCGCCAATTCTATGTAAAATTTTTAATGTCCACATTAATGTAGAAGCATGTAGCTCTGTCCGCGCAATCAAGTATATCTGTAAGTACATAAATGTAGGAAGCGACCAAGCAATATTTAATCTCAGGAGTGAAGGTGAGGCAAATCCCGTTAATGAAGTACAGACCTTTCAAGCAGGGCGTTATGTCAGCAGTAACGAGCGTGGCAGCGTGGTGTCTCCTTGGCTTCCCTTTACACGAAAGGCACCCAACAGTTACTCACCTTGCTGTGCACTTAGAAAATGGAGAGCGTGTATGTTTCACTGAAAGAAATTTCCAAGAAAGAATTGCATCACCGCCAAAAACTACACTAACAGCCTTCTTTTAACTTTGTCAAACCGACCCCTTTGCAAAAACGTTGTTATATTCCGAAGTCCCCCGCTATTATACTTGGAACACATCTAGGAAGGAGTGGAAACGCCGTATTCAAGGCGCGCCTGTTGCAAATTGGCCCGGTGTAAAGTCATCAGATGCCCTTGGTCGTGTGTATACCGTCCATGTAACTAATTTTGAATGTTTCTGTTTACGATTGCTGCTGCACCATGTTCGGGGTCCTACAAGATATAAAGATCTTAAAACTGTCAACGGTCAGGAATGCGCAACTTATAGAGAAGCATGTGAAGTTCTGCATCTTTTAGAAAACGATAATCACTGGGATGAAACCATGGAGGAAGCTGTGCAGTGCCAGTCTCCAGCCAAAATTAGGGATCTTTATACAACTCTCATATCATCTTGCGGGCTATCTAATGCACATGAATTGTGGGACAAATATAAAGAGTACATGGCGGAAGATATTTTGTGAAGGTTACAGCAGACACACGCGAACATGACATACAATGAACACATTTATAATGAAGCACTTGGAAAAATTGAAGATAAAGTAATGGCAATGGTAGGCGAAAAATTAAGCGACTTTGGAATGATAAGTCCTCAGCGAACAACCGAAAATGAACTAAATGATGAAATTATACGTGAAAAAAACTACGATATACCAGCTTTGCAGCAGCAAGTAGCCGAATTTGTACCCCGCTTGCTTCCCGAACAAAAACTAGTTTATGACAAAGTATTAGGACAAATTGAATCTGGAAATGGTGCACTTTTCTTTTAGATGCTCCTGGAGGAACTGGGAAGACATTTTTGTTAAATTTATTATTTGCGCAAGTACGGAAAGATAAAAACATTGCTGGTAGCTTCCTCCGGTATAGCCGCCACGCTGCTAAGCGGGGGCCGCACTGCACATTCTGTTTTAAAACTCCCTCTAAATCTAGCCCAGGAAGAATCGCCGATCTGCAACTTTAGCAAAAATAGTGCACGAGGTATAATGCTATGACAATGCAAACTTTTAGTGTGGGATGAAAGTACAATGTCGCATAAAAAAGCTGTAGTAGCACTTAATCAAACGCTCCAGGATTTGCGCAGCAATACCGATGTAATGGGAGGAATGGTGGTTTTACTGGCTGGTGACTTTCGCCAAACTTTACCTGTCATTCAAAAGGGCACACCTGCAGATGAAATTAAAGCATGTCTCAAGTCGTCTATTTTATGGAACAAGGTGACAAAATTCAGTTTAACTACGAATATGAGAGTGCATTTGTTTAATGATATCAATGCTGGAAACTATGCACTATTAAAAATTGGCGATGGGCGGTTGGAAACGGATGCTAAGGGCTGCGTTAAATTGACGAGAGATTTTTGTAATTTAGTACAGAGTCATTCCGAATTAATTGCGAGCGTTTATTCAGATTTAACGAACAACATGCATGAAGACAAATGGTTTTGTGAAAGGTCGATTCTTGCACCAAAAAATGAGAGCGTTAACAAAATAAATTCAGATATATTAAGCGAAGTAACAGGAGAAATAACAGAGTATTTGTCAGTAGACACAGTTATGGACACAGAACAGAGCACTTCATATCCCGTAGAGTTTCTAAATTCTCTAGAGTTGCTAGGTGTGCCCTCACATAAGCTTCAATTAAAATTAGGCGTCCCAGTCACGCTAATGTGAAATTTAGATGCTTCTCGGTTATGTAACGGGACAAGGCTGCGTGTGACACATCTTGGACGGAATTTAATCGGTGCTACAGTATTGACAGGCGTAGTAAAAGGTTAAAATGTTATTATACCATGGATCCCTATAATTCCCACAGATCTTCCTTTTCAATTCAAAAGGTTGCAGTTCCCTATTAAGCACAGTTTTGCAATGATAATTAATAAAGCGCAAGGGCAAACGTTACAGGTAGCGGGGGTCAACTAAGAAAAACCGTGCTTCTCTCATGGTCAACTGTATGTAGCATGTGTCAAATGCCCAGAATCTCCACATTCTTTCCCCGAATGAAAAACATATAACATTGTGTACAGTAGCATCTTAAAATAGTGTTCAGTTAGTTTTTTTTTTCCAAAATTCCCACAATCAATTAATCAGAATTCCCACAGATCTTCCCTTTCAATTCAAAATTTCCTATTTAGCTCAATTTCTTTTCAATTCCAAATGCTGCACCTCTGACGGACCTATTAAGCTCAGTTTCCTTTCAACTCAAAAGGCTGCATCTCTGACGGATCTTTTATTTGGCTCAGTTTCCTTTCAATTCAGAAAACTGCATCTCTGACGAATCAATTTTGCTCAGTTTCGTTTTAATGGCTGCATCTCTGACAAATCTATAAAACTCAGTTTTCTTTCAATTCAAAAAGCATTTGATAGTTCATTTCCCAGTGACCATGCGGGCGCAGCCGCGGGTAACAGCTAGTATTTCATAAAAATTACACTTAACACAAAAATGTTTGTGGCCACTGTCACTAGGCAAAGAGGTCATTGTACGAAATTCTTCCTGCTTCGCGACTGGACTTCAGCAATGATAGATGAACTTTCATTAGCTGCAATAGGATATATTTTTTAAATTATTTTTAGTATTTTAGTTTATGTTAAACTAGCTAGCGGACCTTTTGTGCGTATTCCTTTTAATATAATGTTGAATTAATGTATTCTTTCTTTCCTTTTTCTAGCTCATACTTCAGTTTCAAGGGTCTAGAGTACAATATGCTACGAGTGCCAGTTGGTGGTTGTGACTTCTCTACCTATCCTTATGCCTACAACGAACAGCCCGAAAATGACCCGAAGCTCTCAAACTACTCACTAACCTACGAAGACTATAATTACAAAGTAAGTGATTTTACATTTGTAATATATACAAGTGGATGCAACTTGATTCATTTGTCTTGATCAGGGAACAAGCACATCCACTGTTCATTCAACATAATACTAGATGTTAGGACTTCTTTCCTGTCTAGGGGTCCATGTGAGTAGGTACCGCCCTCCAACCTGTTTCTGTCGTCAAAAAGCAGTACCTGCTCTACTGTGTTACGGTCTGAAGAGCACAAAGAACCATTTTATTTAGAAAATAAGAATAGAGAGAGAGAGAGAGTTGGTCGATCAAGTAGATGAGTTTGTGTATTTGGGATGTGTTTTTAGCGGGTATGGTAGATATGATAAGAATATAGAACGACGTGTGAACGCAGGAAATAGAGTAAATGGGGCTCTACACTCTAGTCTCTAGTCCACAATGCTATGTTAGTCCCTACTTTAATGTATGGTAGTGAAAGTTGAGTGTAGCAAAAGAAGCACGAGATTATGCTAAATTCTATAGAAATATGGCCATTCTATATAAATGTGGTCCATATAAGCCATCTATACATGAACACCTTCCGTAACATAGGAAAATTTTCTTTTATATACATGAACTCCTTCTAAGACTTAGACAATGTTTAACAAATTTTCTAATTATCTTATAAATGTTATTTATCTTTATTTTTATAATATTTTCGACTTGTATTTCTATTATTTATCATTTTTATAATATTTTCGACTTGTATTTCTATTATTCATCATATTTTAAATATTTTTACAAGTTTTTGAATAAATTTATTTATTCTGAAAGACAATATTTTGCCTTAAATTTACTATAATATTTGTCTAATGTCTGAAATGTACTCGTATTTATCTTAACTTTATGCTTATTAATGTAATTTTATTGTTTATTATATATATTTATTATAGTATTATATCATATATATTTTAAAACTATTTTTGATGCCCCTTTATATTGAATTTAATTATTAATAATAATATTGGGCCGTCACATCGTCATCAACAATGCTTCTCTACTAGTGGACTTACAAGGCTTCAGAAGTTCAAAAGAACGATATAGTATCACATTCAATAATGTTACCAGATACCAATGATCAAAGAAATTAGCAAGGTTGCAACGTCCCCGGTGCATATAGTGGCTTCGACGTGGTCACCGCCTATTTGGATGAAGACGAATCACAATTTCTCAGGGATCAACCAGCTTAAACAGGAATACTTCGAAACATATGCTTTGTACCATTACAAGTGGGTATTTGAATTTTTTAACACACGTTATATTTTGTAACATCAAATTCTAATCATTCTAACAATCTGTACAGGTTTCCTTGGCCATGTTTCGTTGAGTCACTCTCGTAAGAGGCGACCGAGAAAACTGAAGTAGAAGATGGTTAGTAGCATCTTCATAATAGTAACTAGAAAAAAACTGCGATTGCCAACCCGACCGCCAAGCGTGGTAACCATCGAAAATATCCCCATTATGATACATTTCATGTTCTACAGAGAAGTTTTATAGACTGTAATGGATTCGATGAATGGATGAGTGGGTTAATGACTACGGACCACAAAACACAAAATTCGTGGATTGGAATCCGCCATTCCACTATTGTAGTAAACCAATACAAGCGTCTACAGCTTAGTTAGAGTAGTCAAAGTAGCAAATACTAGTATCCATTTAAAAATTATGTCGGTTAAATAAATACAATTGTTTCAGATTTTTAGAAAAGTACGCAGCACAAGGTATAAACATTTGGGCAATCACTACCACTAACGAACCAATTAATGGTCTCTTTGGATATGTTAAGTTTAACAGTCTCGGTTGGTCCGTAGAAAAAATGGTAAGATTCTTAGAGCACCAGCCAACATTTTATGTGGAATGATGACTTGTCTGTAGCCTTGCAGACCATGGCTTAAGCTGCTAATCCCTAACAAAGACGCCTTCAGTTACGTTTATTACCTATAATGTCCTTAGATGTCCATAGACTGCAATGGCCTTACAAATTTCCGTCTAAGACTATAAAAGATTACCCTTAAGTTCGGAGGCCTTGTAGAAACTCAAACCAAACTGGAACACCTTTAAATTTATTTTTATATGATGACTTACAGTAACGGTATATGGATCTACAAAACTGTAATAAATGTTTCAGGGCGAATGGATTGTAAATAATTTGGGCCCAATGATACGGAATTCCGTTTTCAAGAACATAAAAATTTTGACCTGTGACGATCAGCGCTTTACTATACCATTATATTTTAGTGAAGTACGTATATGATTATTTTTTTACGACTAAGGGCTAGGATAACAAATATTTATTAAGTTTGCAGTAATTTATTTTATAATAATACAGTATGTAACAAACAATCCGGTGATCCTTTTAGGGATGGTTTTAATATAGGCAAGCTATTTATGACGGTATTTTTTTTGGTCTTTGTTATAGGGATTTTAGCGTTCACTATTGTGAGGTGAGTAACTAAATTTAATCCAATGAAAAAATGTTATTCATATCTGAACTAAATGACGTACGCATTAGTATATAGCGGGGTCTGTGACAATACCAAAGTAGTGAGTAAAGAAACCAACTCCTTACTCTGTTACAATAACAATACTTTTACTCCCCGACCAATGCAGAGTTAATAGACATACTCACATACAATTAGCTATTACATATTAATTTAAATTTAATTTGATTTTTCACGGTTATTATTCTTGAAGAAAAGACGCACCTATTCGTTTGAATGTTGATTCTGATAACGTACTCCACGAGTATCACAGGGGTTTGTTACAGGTTGCATAATAGGTTGTAATATTTATGTAGTGTTGACCGTGCAGCCAAACCAAAAATATCTTGAAAACACTATTTATTTGAATTTAATTAATTTTTAAGTGTGCGTCTTTTTTAAGCGTCCTTTTCTCCACCTTGCATTTTTTTCATTCTCACTTACTCACTCACTATCAGTCTTTTACTCATTCGTCGTTCGCTCCGTTCCTTCCAGATCACTTCATTACACTGCATTCCATCCCACATTCGGCCGTCCTGATCTCATGCCTGTCCTCAGGCATCCATGCCGCTTTCACTCCTTAACATTCACATTACAAAAAAAAATTAACTTACTACCAACACTTAAAAACAAAATAAACAGTTGTCTTAGCAATAACAAACAAACCTATACAACATAGTCTTGTATTTTACTTAACATTTCCTTTATTACAGTAATAGGTACTTACAAAGTAATTCAAACCACAGTCATTTAAAAAAGAAGTAAAGAGTTAGTTTCTATTGAAAGATATTGAAAGACATTTCCTTTACATTTCCCATTACAGTTATGCAAAAAAAAAACAGTTACAACAATCTTCTCTTCTATTTATATTTTACTAACCATATCACAATAACAGTGCTTATAGCTTAAATATAGGCTTATTAAAACAAATTCATTTAAACAAAATCATGTTAACAGATCATGTTTATAATGGTGCATGATGTGTTCCTTTCCACAATAATAAAAATATTGTAAAAGTAAATAAAGACAAATAAAAACTCAAAAACTAAATAATCTTTCATTCATCTTCTTATCATTCCACATCCCTCACATCCTTTATATCACTCACCTGTTTCATCTTCAAAGGTCTTCGGTCAAAGGTCATCAGGCCATCGTTTCATCTGATCAACTGAGGTCGACGTTTTCCCTGGTTCATGTGCATGAACTTTCTCCACATCATTTCTTTTGACCTTAATGACACGGTAGGGACCTAGGTATTTAGGTCGCAACTTAAGTCCTACTCCAAACTGAGTGCGCTTGATTACTACGAAATCCTCTATTTCATACTTGCAGCCTTCTTTTCTATGCTTATTAAAGTTTCTTCTATTTTCTTCTTGTAATTTCAATATGTGTTGTTTGGCTTTCACTCTTAAATCTTCTCTGTTTCTGTTATACTGTTCAACCTCTTCACTCTGTAAAATTTGTATTATTTCCAAATCTCCCTTTTGTCTCAACTTTGTACCAATCATTAGTGTAAATGGAGTTGTATAAATGCTCCTATGATATGTGCTTTACAAAGCTCTTTGTAATCGACTTACATGCTTATACCATAAGGAAGGGTCTTCAATACGTAACTTTGTCAAAACTGAAATGATTGTGCGATGCACACGTTCTACCTGTCCATTTCCACGTGTTACTCCAGTTGTTATAGTAATATGTTGTATACCTTCTGTCTCGCAAAACTCTCGAAAATCATTTCCTGTAAATGCGGTACCCTTGTCAGTTATTATTCTGTCTGGGTCGCCAAAATGTTGTTGAAAAATCTTTAATTTGTCCAATGTTTCCTTACTGGTCGTGGACTTTGTTGGAAATATCCATGTAAACTTGGCGAAGGCATCAACCATTGTCAAAATGTAATTATACTGTTTTTTAGTTTCCATTAGAGGCCCAATATGGTCGATATGCAAAGTATGTAATGGCATGCTTTCTTTTTCTATAGGGTGTAAAAATCCTTCTTGTTTTCCAGATTTTCTTGTTGCGAGTAAGCATGGTATGCATGTTGTCACGAAGTTTTGTAATTTCTTATCCAACTGATTGATGTAGTAGCTGTTACTTATGATTTCTTTCATTTTTGCATGAAAAGTGACCAATTCCATGAGTTATTTTTATTATTTCTTTTTCCAAAGTTTTTGGTATTACCGATTTCAATTCCTTTATACAGCAAATCATTTTCGATGCAATAATCTTGGTAAGAACCATTCTTCAATATTTCTTTGATAGCTTTGAGGCCTTCATCTTGGTCTTGCATTTGTCTGATTTGTTGATGCATATCGGTGATCAACATCACTGTAGGACAATCACGGCTGTGTGCGTCTGTATTTTTCATCTTTGAACCTGCTCGGTGCTCCACAGTGAAATTAAATTGGTCTAAAAATAGTACCCATCTCGCTACTTTAGCTGACAAATCTATTTTCCTCAATGTTTGTTCAAATGCTCGGCAATCTGTAATGATTTTGAACTTAATTCCATGCAAATAATGTCTAAATTTCTTTACACCTTCAATAATAGCTAGTGTCTCTAATTCGTAACTTGAATACTTTCTTTCCACATCATTGGTCTTTCAACTCATGTAGTAAACTGGATGCCATCCGTCATGATGAAATTGTAATAATATTGCTGCATTCGCTAAACATGAAGCATCAGTGTGTAATTCTGTAGGTAAACTACTATGAAAAATCTTTAATAGTGGATTACTAGATAATTTATACTTTAAGATATTAAACGCTTTCCTTTGGTCTTCACCAAAACAAAAAGGAGCAAATCTGTCAATGGCTGTGCAGTCAATGCATAGTTCTCTATATATTTTCGAAAATATGAGTTTAAACCAACAAACCTTTGTACTTGCTTGACATTACAGGGCTCGTGATACCTTACTACTGCATCAGTCTTTTCTGGGCTAGGTTTTACCTCTCCCTTCTTGACGACATGTCCCAAATATTCTATTTCCTTCTGGACAAGTTTAGCTTTCTTCCAGTTTATCTCCAGTCCAAATTCAGATGCCACTTCAAGCACCATTTTTTTCTCTTTATTAGGTACCCGAGAAAGAACAAAGGCAGCAGCAAAGTGACAACATGAAGTTGAAGCGCATTATGTTCAGACGATCTATGACGTCAACGGAAGAATCAACAACTCATTCGCAGGAAGTGAATGATCATTCGTTGTGTGATGGCGATGTTGGCAGCCATGACGGCCCGCATCTGACAGCAGCGTCAACGTCAAACTCAACATGGCCGTAGACGGACTGTCGCTCCTGTTTTGTCGCTTGAATAATGGTTTGAAGTGGATTTTGATTCGTAAAAGTGATGCGATTTTGTGAATTAAGTATCCGCGCGTGTGAACTATTAGAGAAAACGATAAAACATGTGCTTTGATGTCGATATAAACCTCAAGTTATTTTGATCACTTGGGCGCCTTATCAACTTGAGTTGCTGTCGTCATCAACTGTCCACTAGGTTGAGCTATCGTCAAAATCTCCCAAGAGCTTCGTAATGTGACGCAGAGTCGCATCCGGACCGCGCTAGCAGTTAAGTTAGCAGTTAAGTTAAGTCGGTCGTTGGCTCCCGCCCGGGCGGGAGAAGTACAGCGCGTCGCTTCGCAGTGGGTGCACGTGCTGTGGGGCCAACTCGGCTTGCGTCAAGCCTCCAGGACGACCCTAACCCCACCCGGGATGTTACATACCCAACGCTGCGCTTAATCTACCATGCTGGGAAGCTAACTCCGAAAGCCCGGCGTGCTGCTAGGAGAGCGTGCGCCTGTTGGTGACTTCGGCTCCACGTCGAGATGCGTCTCCGCGGGACCTGGAGGTTGCTGACTTTTCGGCAGATCCCTTCCCAGAGGCGTGAGGTACGCCAATTTCTGCCTGGGAATTTACAAGGCCTTAACCTAGAGCCAGGGAGGAGCATTGCTGACCGGAGTGCTGCTATCAGGAGCGCACACCTGTCGGCAGGATTGGCCCTGCGTCGACTCCCTGTCCGCGGGACTCCGTGGGGCTTCGAGACTGCTGACCCTCCGGAAGCACCTACCTGGTGGCGCGCAATACGCCAACGAAGATTACCTACAATGCCGTCCTTGTACGGCTCCCAAGACCGGTCCATAGAAATGGGCTGTGAGGATTACCCGGGTAATGGGGGATACCCCGAGGCCCGAAACCTGCAGGGATAAACAATAGTAGTCCCTTGCAGATGACAACACTGGATGTGATGCATCAGCATATTGTGAAGAAAAAGAACACAGAATGAAGATTCTAAAAGAAAGGATAGGCTCAGGAGGTCTAGAAACCAGAGCCGTAAAGCCAGTTAATAAAAAAAATCAACGTAAACTCTGAAAACAGCAACGGAGATGTTATCAGGTGTTATTCAGATTGTAAACAATACCTGCACCGACAAAACGGATACGTTCAAACCATTGAAAATGATAACTGTGTGCAATCTTAGTGTTAAAGCATTAGTCGACTCAGGCAGTGACGTTAACATAATTTCATCAGAATGTTACAAGGCAATTAGGTCAGCCAAAAGCGGAATATGAGAATAAGTACTATTTTATCAGGGATTGGACAGTGTAAGATTAAATCATTAGGAAAGTGTTATTTACAATTTATTGCTGATGATCAACATTTCGATGGTGTGTTCCACATTATTAGTAGCGTATATGTACCGTATAATGTAATTATAGGTCATGATTTTCTGAAAGGTGTTATTATGTTAATGAAAGATGGTGCAGTGAG